CATTTCAAGAAAGATGTGGAGAAATTGGAAAGGGTCCAGAGAAGAGCAACAAGAATGATTAAAGGTCTTGAGAACATGACCTATGAAGGAAGGCTGAAAGAATTGGGTTTGTTTAGTTTGGAAAAGAGAAGACTGAGAGGGGACATGATAGCAGTTTTCAGGTATCTAAAAGGGTGTCATAAGGAGGAGGGAGAAAACTTGTTCACCTTAGCCTCTAAGGATAGAACAAGAAGCAATGGGCTTAAACTGCAGCAAGGGAGGTCTAGGTTGGACATTAGGAAAAAGTTCCTAACTGTCAGGGTGGTTAAACACTGGAATAAATTGCCTAGGGAGGTTGTGGAATCTCCATCTCTGGAGATATTTAAGAGTAGGTTAGATAAATGTCTATCAGGGATGGTCTAGACAGTATTTGGTCCTGCCATCTGGGCAGGGGACTGGACTCGATGACCTCTCGAGGTCCCTTCCAGTCCTAGAATCTATGAACCTATGAATTAGAATGTGGCGTTCCTGGCTCCCACTCCTGTGCTCCGGCCACTAGCCCACACCCCTGCCATGCTCAGGCCTAGGGAGCCCTGGAGCCACAGGATGTGGGGCTGATGTCAGCGACTCTTGCGGCAGCAGGGTGGGCATGGTGACCAGCTGCCTCATAAACAACACACGCAGGGCCAAATCCTGAGCTCCTTAGCCCGAGCCAAGGGGAGAGGGGAGCTGGCCTGTTCTGCTTTGCGTCTTCCCAGCGTTTTATGTCCCTGCAGCAATAAATGACTTGCCTCCCAGATGTTAAAGGGACAGGAGCTCAGCTCTACTGCCGCTCTCGTGCCCTGGGGCATTGTTCTTTATTAGCGCCGTTGGGTTTGGGGGCCCAGGAGCTGTGACCGGTTCCCTCTCTGCCCTGCAGGGAAATGCAGGGACTCTGCCCGTCTCTGGACAGCAAGAGCCGCGAAGACACCTCACCGTTGGGTCCCTCCTCTTCCCCCAGTGACCCTGCTCTGTCCCCAGCAGCACAGCCTTGGATTTCCAGGGCCTGATTCTTCTCCCACTCATGCCAGTTTTGCTGCCGGGTCACCCCAGTGGCTTTGATGGAGATATTCCCGACCTGCACCCCGAAGGCAGGAGCAGAACCGGTGCCCTGGCCTCTACCCAGACCCCAGGCCAGGGGTGGGAGCGTGGCAGAGGCCTGCTTGGGTCTAATTTTCAAGCCTGAGGGAGACGAAAACCCGACCCAAGCCTTTTTCAGACCCAACCCGTGTCAGTGCCACCACCTCGTTCTTGGGGCTCGGCCGGGCAAGGGCTTCCCACTCCCCATGCCCGTGACCTGTCTCCAGCTGCCTCCTGCCCACGGGGTCGCGCTGACGGCTCCGTGCCCCCTGCTTGGTGCACATGCGGTGGAGCAAGAGGTACTGCGGCTCCTCGACACGCTTCCTCCGCTGCGTGCCCAGGCCGGCAGGAGCGGGGCACGCAGCCGCCGCGGTGCCCACCCCCTCGGCAGGAGGAGGGGAGCCGCGCCGCACCTGAGAGGGTCGGATAGTTTTCCAGGACATTCAGGGAGCAGCACGAAGCCCTGCTAAGGACGGCTGGCCCTGAGCGCCAGGCTTGGGCGGCCGCGGGAGCCTATGATGGGGTGGTGAGACTCAGGCTCCGCATTTGGGACAGACGGCGTTATACACTCCTGCCTGGTGGGAGTGTGTGGGAAGACCGGACCGTGACAGGCCAAGGGGGTGGGAATTCGGAAGGCAGCACGTCCCGCTCTGCAATGAGCCAGCCTAAGTCATTTCCAGACATTTATACCTCATGTACAATTGCTCTCGCTCCAGTCCAATGGATCGACATGACAATGGTTGTTTGAGTGACAAGCTCAATTCACTGCCCTCCAGCTGCATCCCGCACTAGCTCCCACCCTCTCCCACCCCCGGGAGCGCACTGGGTGTCAGCAAGGGCAGGATACGGCCCCAGGTTCCCAGGACACCCCTCACTGGCCAAGCCTCAGTGCAGGTCAATGTTCTCGTACTCCTGGTGGTCAGAGTCCTCCAGCTCAATGGCAGGCACCAGGTTGTAATAATCCACCGCCTGGCTCATGTAGAGCTTCTCTCGGTCCACCGAGTCCTTCAGCACGTCCGTCACGCTCATGGTCTCCGCTTCCGGGTCGCTGCCCGCCAGCTCCTCTGCTGCCGCCACCACCGGCGGTGCCCCCGCGGGGCCCGTCTCCTGGCTGAGGCTCCCTTCGTTGACCAGCACAAAGGAATCGTCCAAGGCCCCCAGCTTGATTTCCACCTCTTCGTAGAGGTCCCTGTTGCTCCCCAGCAGGGCGGAGGAGGGCTTCAGCAGCATGTTCTTCTCGCTCTCGGTGGGGGCAGTGGGCAGCTCACACTGGATGTAGCGGTGAGGCTCTGCCAGCCCCTTGGCACCGTTCCTCTCCACTGTGGCCAGGTGGCACTCCGGCCTGCGGCTGAGGGCGTAGCCCGTCTTTCTCTTCTGCCTGCAAAAGCACCAGGCGACCAGGGCTAAAATGACCACCAGGGGCAAGCAGATGAAGAGGGCGGTCAAGCTGTGTGCCCGGCAGAGCTCCTGCTTACGGACGTCTCGGATGTCCATGCTGCGGTAACGCTCTGGGGTGCTGCACACCACGACAGGGCCCTGCATGTCCCCGCTGGGTGGCTCTGGGGGATACTTCTCCAGGTCACCGAGCAAGGCGCAGGTGCAATCCCAGCTATTGTTGGAGAGGCCGAGCCTGGTGAGAGAGGGCTTAAAGACACTGGCGGGAAGGGAGGCCAAGTCATTGAAGCCAAGGTGAATCTCTTGGATTTGGGTGGAAGCTCTCAGGAAGGATTTGGGCAGCTTGCGAAGCTTGTTGCTGTCCAAACGAAGGACCCTCAATCGCGGGGCGTCTTCTAGGAAACTTTCTGGAAGCTTTTCCAACTGATTGTGATCCAAGTGCAAGATCTCCAGCCTGCCGGGCGCACCGGGCGCATTGACAATGTCCAACACGCCGCAGTGCGAGAGGTATAGCTCTCTCAGGCCTGTTACCCCACCAAAGAGGCTCCAGTCCAGGGAGCCAATTTCAGTCCCCGTGAAGTTCAAACAGCATGTCTGGAGGGCTGGAGCTGCCTGAAAATCCGAGAAGGCCACGGCTGTGCTGCAGTTGCAGGCTTCCTCCACAGTTCCCAGAGCAAGTTGCGTGGCTAGCACCAGCCCAGCCCAGAGGATGAATGCCCACAGCTCGCGACCTAAAGCAAAGAGGAGAGGAAAATAGATGAGTGATTTCTTCTGAGTAAAAAAAGGGTTGTAACTAACTCACAACATTTCTTGTACAGCAAACACCAATCGCTGAGTACGCTGCAGTTCGATCCGTTTAATGCAGGGGTGGCCAACCTGGGGCTCCGGAGCCACCTGCGGCTCTTCAGAAGTTAATATGCGGCTCCTTGTCTAGGCACCGACTCTGGGGCTGGAGCTACAGGTGCCAACTTTCCAGTGTGCAGGGGGGTGCTCACTGCTCCAGGCCCTGCCCCACTCCATCCCCTCCCGCCTCCTCCCCTGAGCCTGCCATGCCCTCGCTCCTCCCCCTCCCCCCCAGAGCCTCCTGCACGCCACGGAACAGCTGATGGGGAGGTGCGAGGAGGAAGGGGTAGGCACTGATCAGCGGGGCTGCCGGTGGATGGGAGGTGCTGGGCGAAGCTGCTGGGGGTCTGCTGACATATTACTGTGGCTCTTTGACAATGTACATTGGTAATTTCTGGCTCCTTCTCAGGCTCAGGTTGGCCACCCCTGCGTTTAATGGATCAATTTAACTATTGGAGAATACTTTCTCTCTTCAAAAACTTCCAAACTTTATCTGTACAAGGTTCACTTCACCCAGCCCTGAAAAGTGGCTGTCTCTGGGGTGGAACCCCACAGCGTACAGTCATTCTGCAAAGCGACTTAAGCTAGGAGGTGAAAAAGAATCCTACCCTAACTGAAATACAGGGAAACGGCGTGCAGGTACCCAGATGAGAACTTAGCAAAGGCCGGCCCTGCTGCTTTTCTGAAACCTGCCATGGGATCATTAACAACAATGAATGTTCAGAGCCTCCGTTGTATGTGTCGTCGGAAAGATGGCACCCCCCAGCAGCAGCACACCGCCCCCTATTGGCAATGCATGTTTAGCCACTATCGCTACTTATAGGTAATTCGAGGGATTGTGCCACCTTTAGCATCTCACATTAAAACATCCTGCAGCAGGGGGGAGGAAAGGGTTGGGGTGACCCCTCCCCCCGTCCTTCTTTTGAGCCCTAAATATCTGTGACCCACTAGCATCTCCCAGTTGCATCTGGCATGAAAGGGGGGAAGAGGGGAGGGGAGGGACTTTCCTTTTTCAGCCACTAACTAAATTCACCCCCCCGCTCTAGCCCCTTCCCAAGAATGAACCCGCCTGCCCCCAGCACGCTGTGGCCATCTAGGATTTCCCTCTGACTGAGCATGAGACTCTGGCAGGCAGCTGATGTCAAGCTTCTCATACAGTTTCTGAAGCAACCCAGCCCTGGCGCAAACAAACACGGGCAGGAGCCCTGCCTCTGAGCTGGCCAGATCCTGCTGCTCTGCAAAGAGTTACCTGCACCAGGTAATCAGCTCAGCGCTCAGGAGCACCCTGATTATACCTGCTCCAGAGGAGAGCAGTTCCCCGGGCAACGGCTGGGCAAATGTCAGCTCTCGTACGGAAAAGGGGCGTGTGTTGGTCAAACCATCAAGGCGGCGTGTGGGAATCACCCTCCCTAGGACACAGAGATTGACTGGATACCCATGACCCTGCAATACTTGGCCAACGAGTGATCCAGATTCCTAGGCCCAGTGGCGTCGGCGGCGTCTATGCTGCACCGACAGGACCACGGACTCAAAGGGCTCATCCACACACACAGTAAATAACAGAAAGATGCCAGGCAGAGTTAGTTCCTGCTGGGAGAGAAACCTTTGCTTTCAAGGAGTCTAGGGATTTCGGACTTGATGCCCTCCACTATCCTCTCCAGAAGATCCAGAGCCCCAGCTATCTGCCTGTTCCTCTTAGGGCAGCCGCATAACCTCCTTCCCTGGCTATGGCCATTCTTTCAGGTGGTTGGAGGCATCTCTCTAGGATACTTCCATACAGCACAGCCACTTCTCTGAAGGACAGCCAGCCAGCTTACTTCCCCACGCAGCCTACAGGGCGGAAATCCTGCTCCCCTTCCTTTGGTGCAGAGGGCCTTCACTACAGTGGAATCAGTGTGATCCTGCTGCGCAGAGCCAGGGGCACAATATGGGGAACTGCATAGAGGGGTCTGCACCCCAAGAGTATCCTGGATTGGGGCTCCCTGCACCCCAGCACGCAGGAGCGAGGGCGTAGGGGCAGGGATCTGGAACAGGTGAGCTCTCCTCCGGAGGTGATGGCACACTGTCTGTGTGTGCAACAACAGGACCAGAGAAATTAACAAAGCTCGTATAACAAAAAGCCACCCAGGACTCCAGTCTGACAGGTCGGACCCCAGTGACCCGGAGAAGAGCTCTGGGTAAGCTCGAAAGCTTCTCTCTCTTACCAGGCAGCTGGTCCCTTGAAAGATATGACCTCACCCCTCTTGAATCTCCAATATCCTGGGACCGACAACACTGCAAACAAGTCTGACCCTACCTTCTCTTCCACCCCACGACCTGTTAGGACCGTGTATAGCTACCCCAGCTACCCCAGAATGCCCTGCTACAGACAAACTGCCAACTCAGTGGGCAGAACTTTGTACTGATGGGCCACGGCAGTGCAGCGGGGGCAGGGGGGGTGTTGAAATCTAGATGCCACGCTTTATGCAGGACGAATCAATTCAGTGGAGCTTTACTGGCAGGACAAGCTATGCATGCGTTGCTGCAGGGTAAGAAAAAGTTAGCCCCACCGGTCTCTGCCGGAGAGTGGGTTCGATCCACCCAGGAGGCGGCTGTATGCAGGGCCTGGAGTTAGATGGGCGCTGCTTGGTTCCCCTTGTCTGGAGTAATCGGCGACACCTAGTGGGTCCTCTGGTGCATTGCGACGGCTGTGGGGGGCGAGGGAGGCCCGTGCCCTGGCCTCTTTCCCCATTTAAGGGTCAGACGTTTACTGAGGAAGCATTCAGGGGGCTTGGGTGACTCAGGATTCCAGCTCCAATCCTGCCCAGATACCAGCGTGGGTACCTCCTGGCGACTGGTCCGCAGCTTGGGCAGAACAGGTTGGTGGGTGTTAGTCCAGTGCCCAGGAGCCTGAACTCCCCCCTCGGGTCAGGGTCGAGGTTGGCTGGCAGAGGGGTGTGTGTGGAAAGCTTGTCCTGTCGCTACCCATGTCCTGGGGAGAAGCAGGGTCTTCAGTTCCCTGGGCTGTCAGGCTGGGCTCCGGGGGAGCACGTGCCGAGGGTGGCGTCCAAATGCTTTACAATGCCCGAGATGCAGGAAAGGTTCAGGAGCCGAACCGCTGGAGGGCGAGGAGGGAGATCCTTGGGAATCAAAGCCCCAGGTCGCAGGACCTGCGGTGCATCCGCTCATTCCCCGGAGCCATCAGCACAGCTGGGGCCAGGGTGTCAGTCCGAGGGCTGGAGACAAAGACCAGCCACAGCTGCGGTGTTGAAGGTAACCCGAGCCCCAAGTCACGGGCGCTGTTTCCTCTCTCCCGGCTCTCTCTCCGCCAGGGATGGCCCTCAGCAGTGGGGTTACCAGAGACCCCACTACGTCACCCCCAAATCCATGACTCCCTAGGCTGGTGGGACGGTGATTCTACCTGGCGGTCCTGGTTCCGCACTTGCCTCTCCCCCCCCACCCCCACCCTGCAGTCATCTCTCACCCCTTCTTTCTCTCCTTCCGCTCCCAGCGCTTCCCTTCTCCCCTTGCCCCTCCCTCAGTTCTCATCCCCTCCCCCTTGACTCTGTGCCATGACGCCTCCTTATGGCAAGGCTCAGAGGGCCTGGCAGCCCCAAGGCACAACCAGTGGAGGGAATTTTGACTGCAGGTCCACGCAGAATGTCTCTGATACACACCCCTGGTGTGCGGGGAGCCCTGCCTGTCACACTGGCCAGTGTTTCCTTTGTTCACCTGTACCCCACCTGATGTCCCTTGGCTTACATTGTAAGCTCTCTGGGGCAGGGGCCGCTCCTTTGCTCTGCGTCTGTACAGCGCCTAGCACCATGGGGTCCCAGTCCTAGGCGCTACGGTAACATGCATAGGAATAATACTGTATGCTGGAGACATTACAGGGCCCCGGGCTCCGTTCCCTGCCATTGTGCGGGACAGGAAACGGCAGCACTTTGGCCCGTGTTCCGGTTACCATCAGTTGGTCTGAGCAGGGGTGGAACAATGAACAATCTCTGCTTATCAGCCACACCATCCCCAGCGGAACTCCTGCTCAGCCCGACACTCCCTGGGCCCTTCCTGGCCACTGCCCGTGACGTCGGCTTTACCTCCCCGCACTGCTCTCCTTAAAGGCCCAGGCCTGGTTTTTAACCAAGAGCCTCTTACTGCTTAAACCCTGAGCAGGCCTGTTCTGGAAGCCGGGGTGACGAGGGCTCGGTCATTCGATGTGGGAAAACGGGGCTCTGGTCCCAGCTGTGGGAAGGACTCTTGTGAAAGGGTCTCACGAGGGACCGTGTGTTGCTCAGCTAGTTAAGAGGCAGTGTGCACGGGGTGTGTGCGTTTGGGGGGGTGGATGGCTCAGGGGACCAGGATGGGATGCAGAGATCTTCACCTCCAAGTCCAGTCCGAGGCTGGGGGACATGGCATTTAGGCCGGGGGTCCCGGGGGTCTTTCACTACTAGGTGGCTTGTTCCAATCCAGCACAGGCCAATTGGCAATAACACCCCCTACCCCTCGCTGGTAGCCCCAGCAAAAGGCCAAGGAGAGTGACTGACGCTGTCACGGCTGGAGGGAGCCCACTTGCCGATGCCCTGGCTGTACCTGGCCATGGATACCCCGAGACCCCCGGGCTGCCAGCGGAGCACCTTTCACCGGCAGGAAATTCACACTGAAAGCAGCCGTGGGGATGGGCTCCGAAAGGGGACCCTGAGCTGCCTTCCTGGTGTTTTCGCCGCCCTGTCCTGCCCCGTAAGAGAACCAGGCCCCATGGCCCAGCACTGCTCTCTTCCTCTCTGGGCTGGATCTCGCAGGCTGTGACACAAATCTGTCAAAACTGAGGCTCTCCCAGGAAATGTGGGGCCCAGGGCAGCCTGTTAGCAGCTTTTCAAGGGGAGGCGCTTTCCCGGGAGGGGAGGGGAGGGGAGGGGAGAGCCAGTGGCAGCGCTGGAAGCCCTCTCAGCCACGAGGCATGTCCCTTTCATTGCACTGGCTTTCTGTTTGCTATAGTGACCCTGTTGTGCTTTGGCGAGGCCTGTCCCCTGGCAACAGCCCAGGGCTGAGCACTGGGTGTGATCACCTGAACGGGGCACTGTGCCGGCAGGACTGGTCACCCAGCTCAGCCGACAGATCTAAGCCTGGCCCCTGGGGTGCCAACTGCGCACCGGCCCTGCCTAGAAACATTTGTTTTCTGTGACTGTCCCAAACATGAGCTCTGTGCAGCTGGGACCTGGCAATGGCCGTTACCGCCAACGAACTTCAGCCTTAACTCGCATCCCCCCGTCCCCAATTCACTCAAGGGAGACTGCGTTACACGGCGGGGGAGATGTTTCCCCCCTATGAATCGCTCGGCTGAGGCCTCCAAACTCGTTTCACTGGTGATACAAAGCAGACCTCCTGAAGGAAGGCTTTAGAACGAACCGGATACCGCAGGGAAATGGACGGGAGAAAGGTGCTTGTTCCTGAGGGTCTGGTCAGACCATCTGGGCAGCCCTCACCCGATCTTGTGTGATGCCGAGCGGCAGCTCAGCCTGGTTAGCAGCTTTCACCGAGTCCCCACACCTAGTTTTGGTTCCTCTCTGAGCCCTGCTCATGAGAAGCCTGGAACTGCTATCCCCTCTCCTAGAGCCCAGTGACCCCCCTGCCAATTCAACTCTCCCCCCGTGCATGACACAGCGTGGCACACGCACCCAGCAGGGTCGTGGACGGCACACAGCAGGAGAGAGTCCAGCAGCAACGGGGTATCCCGCCCGAGAGCTCATGGTGATCAGCACAACTCCTGCTCTGTTCACAGTCCCTTCTGTCTCTGTAGGCCCCGTATGGGGCTGTGTGCCACCGCTCCCCAACACAGCCAGCCAGCATGGCCAGAGCAGGGGGAGTGGAGCCGGCTCCTGGTACCTTCCCTCCTGCCTCTGAAGCACCAACTGGAACTCCCACTCGCTATGTGCAACTGCAGAACCGGCCCCTTCCGCGGCCCGTTCCCCTTGGCTGGTTACAGCATGCTGCGCTGCTGCTCCTCTCTCGGATCCCGGGGGGCCTGGTCGCTGGGCTGAGGAAAGCACTTCTTGCACTTACTTTTCACTGCATCCCCTTCCCCCCCAGGCGCACACCCATTGTTACAGGGGCTCTGGAGAATACGTGGATCCTGGGTTTACACCAGTGTAGCTGAGAGCAGCATTTGCCCGACTCGTGCATGGGTACACATGGAAAATCAGTAAGGCGGTCACCTGGTTAGAGTCAGATTTCACAGACTCTGGGCAAGATTTTCAACAGTGACTAGGCCAGGGGTTCCGAGCCGGCCTTAGGGGAAACGGTGCCCCTGGCTCTTGGGCTCCCCTGCCCGTCACCCCCGGCCCCTGCTGGCTCCCTGGGCTCCCCCATCGCCCCCAGGCTCTGCTGCCTCCCCCGCACATTGCCTCGAACTTCTTTCTGTGGCCTCGGACCCCAGGCCTGCCCTATTTCTTGCCTCTTGACCACAGTGCCGTAAGGCCAGCCCAGACTTGTCGCCAGCATGACCCTCTTGTAATTCATTATTTCCTCCCGAGACCCCAGACAGCATGGAGGGCGCCATTTTGTAGAGCAGAATGGTCTCCTCCGTGCACTGTGGTCTCACATGGATGGTGCGTGCGAGGTCACAAAATGGCGCCCTCCATACATGAGTGGCCGCCGCCACCCCATCTGCTGGTGGCACACTTTGGGAACTGCTGGACTCGTGATCTGGGCAGCCTAACTTGCAATTTCTTTTGAAGGGGCCAGTTTTTCACAGGGGGGTGCTCAGCGCTTCCTGAGAAATAGGCCCCCTGAGGGGTTTCAGGTTGGGTCCCCAAAATCACTAGCCCCTTTGGAAAATCTTGGCCTCTGACAGCTCCTCATCTTGCAGCCCAAAAGTCGGACATCCCTTTTCAGCAAGGATGCCCTTTGCACGTCGCCAGCACCTTCCACCCCAGGGTCTCGAGGCACTTTACGAACATTCGCGAATGTAGCTTCAAATCCGCCTGTGACGTAGGAAATGAACAGACTTCCCAGGTTACTGGAGACTTGCTCCAAGTTACAAAATGAGTCAGCGGCAGAAGTAGGCGTGGGGCTTCATTTGTAATGAAAGAGGTGCCCGGGCTCAAGCAAATTTTTTTTTTACATTCATAACTAATGCAGCAAGCCCAGGGGCTCTGAACTGCCAGGCCTGGAGGTGCCGGGCTATGAACCGCCAGGCCCCCCTGGCACAAATTAAACCCTGCTGACGATCAGGAACGATTTTTTCCCATCTCCTCCCTAGCAGCAAAATACCCCCGCTTCAGTGGGGCACTGAAGTGGGTATTGACGCCGGAGGAAGAGCGCCCCCTATTGAGTCACCAGCCCAAACGCTGGGGCCCCCGAGTGCCCAAGGGGGCCGTGCTGGGAACGCAGGTGGTGCTCGGCTTTGGCAGGGGGAGCGGAGCGGACTCCCGGCCAGGGTGGCACGGGGGAGAGGGGGCTCCGCGCCCGGCTGCTGGAGGGACCCGGTGGCCCCTGCCCTCGCCGGCCCCTGCGAATGGAGCCCAGGGAACGCAGGGCCCTGCCCCTGGAGAGCCAGGCAGCGGGACGGATCACGGACCCAGCCAAGCCCCAGCGCACCCGCTCCCCGGCAGCCTGCCCGAGCCAGTCCGCGCCCGCGGAGCCCCAGGCGGCGCGCCGTTCCCAGGCAGCCGGGGGAGATGGGGCGGGCGGCGCAGAAGGGCTGGAGGGAGGCGGACCCCGGTCCCGGGACAGAGCCCCCGGGCGGCCCTCACTCACCTCCCGCGGCGGGTCCCATCCTCCCGCGGGGGCTCTCCGGGGAGCCGAGCGGCGGGGCCGGGTCTCAGGTGTCCATGCCGGGCTGCGCTCCGCGCTCGCTCGGGCCGGCCCTCCCGGGGTGTGGCTCCGCCTAGGCTCGGGCCGCCTGCGGAACAGAGGCAAGTAACTCCCCGCCCTCCGGGATTTCCCCGTCCCGTGCCCCAGAGCTAGCCCCCGTCTCCTTCCCAGCCTCCCCTCTCCAGCCCCCCTTCTCCAGCCCCTTCTCCGCACTCCCCTTCTCCTCTCCAGCCCCCCGTCTCCTTCCCAGCCTCCCCTCTCCAGCCCCTTCTCCTCTCCAGCCCCCCTTCTCCTTCCCAGCCTCCCCTCTCCAGCCCCTTCTCCGCACT